GGGGCAAGGGGCTGTTCTGGCCAGTGTGTCTCCCCCCCAGCCCAGCACCCCTCAGCCCCCGGCATGGGGACCCCCAGAGCACCCCGGGGCCGGGCAAACTCGGGGGGGGTGTGGGGGTGTGTGCAGAGCACCGCCAGCTCATGACACGAGTGGGCTGACCCCCCATCCCACACGCTCAGCATGGGGGGGGCCCCTTTCCACAGCCTCACCCCTTCCCAATGGTGTCACCGGCAATCGCCCTGGCCTTCCTCCCCTTCCTCATCACCCTCCTGATCCGGTACCGGCACTACCTGGTGCTGCTGTACCGGGCGGTGCTGGTGGGGTGGCTACGGGACCGGCTCACCGGCGTGCCGCGGGAGCAACGCGCCTTCCAGTACCTGCTGGCCCACGCCATCCCCGGCGACCCCCGCCACGTCCTCCAGACCCTCGACCAGTGGAGCTACTACTGCGAGCACCTCAGCTGCGTCGGGCCTGTCAAAGGTCAGTGCGACCCTCGCCCGCACAGCACGAGGGAAGGGGGCGGCGTCCCGGCGCTGGGCACAGCACCAATGACGTGGCTGTGGCAACACCAGCGCAGCTGTGGTGATGGTGGTGTGGCTGTGGCATTGTTGATGTGGCTATGGCACCATTGGCATGGCCACAGCATCATTGGCACAGCCATGGCAGTGTTGGCACAACCAAGGAATCATGGGCACAGCCATGGCACCGTTGGTGTGGCTACAGCATGACTGGCACAGCCATAGCACCATTGGCACAGCCAGGGCACAATTAGTGTGGCCGTGGCATCACTGACACGGCCATGATGCCATTACACCAGTGTGTGTGGCCATGGCACTGTTGGTGTGGCTGTGGCACCCCTGGCACAGCCAGAGCACCATCACCCCCGCTATGGCACTGCTGGTATGGCCATAGCACTGTGTGCACAGTTGTGGCAGTTGATGCAGCCGTGACATCACTGGCGTGGCCACAGAACCAATGGTGTGGCTGTGGCACCACCAGCATGGCTAGGACACTGTTGGTGTGCCCATGGCAGCCCTGGCACCGCCGAGACAGCTGTGGCACGATCACTGGGGCTGTGGCACCGCTGGCGTGGGCATGGCATCACTGGCATAGCTGCCGTATTGCCAGCACAGCTGTGGCACTGCTGGTGTGGCCGTGGCACCCTTGGCACCACTGTGGCATTGCTGGTGTGGCCATGGTGTCACTGGTGTGGCCATGGAGCCCTTGGCACAGCCGTGGCACGTTTTGGGGGCTCTATCCCCCAGCAGCGCTGGGGTCAGGGGTGGGTGCCTCGGGCAAGGCCAGTTGGGGCCACGGGCAGCTTTGGTGCAACCATCCAACCCCCCTGCTGTGCCCTCTGCCCCTCTTGGCCCCCTCTCCCTGCCCAGAGACAGCGTGGGGGGGCGCCGAGGTGGGCTGTGGGGGTGCTGAGGGCCATGTGCCGTGACAGGGAGAATCGTGGAGAGGCTGGTCCGGGAACGGGCGCCGCAGCGGGTGCTGGAGCTGGGCACCTACTGCGGCTACGGCACGGTGCTGCTGGCACAGGGGCTGCCCCTCGGCGCCCGCCTCTACACCGTGGAACCCGACCCCCGTCATGCCGCTGTGGCCGAAAAAGTCATCCGCCTGGCCGGCTTCGACGAGCGGACGGTGAGTGCCACACGCCCCATGGCTCATGGAGCGAGACAAGGGGAGCAAGGAAAAGGTCTGGGGGGGCCCCTCCATGCCGTGGAACCACGGGACAGCCGGGAAGGGAAAAGGCAAATCCTTGCCCTGGGGTGCCGGCGTGGTGGCCAGCGGGTGGATGGGTGGGTGGGGGCCCCTCTAAAACCCCAGGAGCTGAGTGGAGGAGCTCTACGTGCAGGTGGAGCTGATCGTGGGCCCCTCGGAGGAGGTGATCCCCCAGCTGCGGGCGCGGCATGGCCTGGCCAAGGCTGATTTTGTCTTCATGGACCACGGGAAACGCTGCTACCTGCGGGATCTGCGGCTACTAGAGACCCACCAGCTGCTAGCCCCAGGGACTACCGTCCTGGCCGATAACGTTCTCTTCCCCGGGGCCCCCCATTTCCTGCAGTACGCCAAAACCTGCGGGAAGTACCGCTGCAAGGTGCACCGCGCCAGCCTGGAGTACTTCCGCGCCATCCCCGACGGCATCGCTGAGCTCTGCTACGTGGGGAACTGCTGAGGCGGGGGGGTTGGGTCTCGTAGGAGCACCAGGGGGCCTCCCCTCACCCCTAAACACGGGCTCTGGGGGTCTGTGGTGCAGATTTGGGGGCTGTTTGTGTGAAAAGTGAGTTTATTTGAAAAAGAAAAAAAAGGAAAAAAA